GGTCAGAGCAGGTGCTGTGTGTTTTGGATGCTGCCTTCGCAGGCTTCTTTCGGCGAGGGCTGACTGGCTTGGTCGAGGCTGACTTTGAGGGCGTAGCCAAGGCAATCATTGCCAGAGCAGATCATCATTTGAGAACGGCACAAAGAGCGTCAGAGAGGGCCTGGAGGCAGCGGGCCAAAGAAGCCTTCCTGGGAGGAGCATCTCGGGCGCATTCGTCCTCCAAAGTTCGGGCTCGACAGGAGGTGCTTGCCTACTCCCACGACGCTCAGCCATACCAGATGGCTGACCGCGCGCTCGACAAGTGGAAGGACGCTTGGACTTACCACGGTGCATGTTCTCTGTCGCTGCCTGTCGATCATGCTCAGTGGCCTTTGCTTCCGCCTTTGTCTGCATCGCAGGTGCGTGGAGCCATCGGGAGTTTTCCGTTGAAGACGGCCTCGGGCCAGACGAGGATCGCGCCACGCACGCTCGATGTGTTGTCCGACCAGGCCTTGCAGAGCCTGGCCGATATGTTCATGCTGTTTGAGAGTTGGCTGGTCTGGCCCACGGACAGGCTCTACAGCGAGCTTGTTCGCCTGCCCAAGCCTGACGGGGACACTAGGTTGATCGTCCTCAGCAATACTTTCGTCAGGTTGTGGGGAAAGCTTCGTCGGCCGCTTTCGGCGAAGTGGCAAGAGGCGCATAGGTGCGAGCATATGTGGGGGTCAAGGGCTGGGCAGACTTCGACCGATTCAGCCTCCGACCACAACCTGAGCCAGGAGATAGGAGAACTTTTAGGTGAGCACACATGCACCATTCTCTTGGACATGACCAAGTGCTTCGATATGGTCAGTCACAGTGCACTTCTCCGAGAAGCTAGAGAGCTCAGGTACCCGCTGAGGCTCCTGTGGTTGCTCCTGGGCTCCTACCGCCAGCCGAGAAGGATCAAGTGTTTCGGGTCTGTATCTAGGCCCTTGGTGGCCCATCAGGGTATTCTTGCGGGCTGCACGCACGCCACGTACCTTCTATACCTCCTCACGTACCGAGCGGTCCAGCGCACGGCCAGTATTGCACCTACTATCACGCCACGCACGCTCATGGACGATGTGGGTCTGCAGTACGTGTCGCCCGCATTGAGAGAGGTGTCCAACCTGACCCGAGCGGCCAAGGCGTTTACGTCGGATGCAGGAGATCTTGGGATGGTCCTGAAGCCGCCGAAGTCTGGATGTTTCCCTGGGAACCAAAAGGTTTGGGGACAGCTCAAGAGGCACCTGGGAACCTTGAAGATCCCGAACAGGGCACACATGAGGAATCTGGGACACGAGCTCACAGGACCTCGAGTTCTTCGGCATATGGAGAAGCGTAGGTTGGTGCAGTTTCGAGAGCGCAAGCATCGTTTTCGCATGTTGAAGTCCGCCGTGGGGCGGAGTGCTACCAGCTTGTGGCGCACGGGCGCCCTTCCATCAGTGGCGCATGGCGGTGCAGTTGCTGGAGTTAGCGACAGCGCTCTTCGTGAGTTGCGACATTGTGCTGCAGTCCTAACTGGTGCTCCAGGTAAGACGATGGTTGGGGTAACAGCACATCTCATATCTCATCGGGATGAATGTTATGACCCCATATATAACGCCACCACGGACATTGTGCTCAAATACGCCTCCTGGATCTGGGACGGGCGAGTGCAACCTAGCAGACTTCGGGAGGCTTGGGTACGTCTGGGTGCTAAGTTTGAGAGTTCACCTTCCTGGGCCAAGGCGCGTGGGCCCCTCGGGGCCACTTGGCTTACTTTGAGGCGCATATCCTGGACTATGTCGTCAGAGCACATCCTGGTCGACGATCTGGGAAACAGTTTTGATTTATATCGTATATGTCCAGCAGACCTACGAGTGTTCCTGCATCAAGGCATTCAGCGCTGGCAGCACCATCGGTTGCAGCAGCATTTTTACACCGAGCAGGCGGACGTGTGGCATCGTGCGCTACGCCACGCGCTCGCCAAGATAAAGTGTCACAGGCGCCTCGGAGCGCTGCAGGCTTTGTGGGCTGACAACCTTCCCATCCCACCGCGCCGGGACATGAAGCACGGGAGGCCCATTAGGCCATGTCAGGCCTGCGGCAAGGCTATCGACTCCTGTTGGGGTCATATCTTTTACGACTGCCCGCCGCTCCTCGAGGGGGACCCCGACCAGGAGTATTATGAGTTTCCAGAACAGCTTCAGGAGGTTCGTGGCATGCTTCAGGCGCCTGGGCAGATGCTGGGGTGCACCGACTGGGACCAGAGATACCTGATCTATGGGGTTCCCGAGCCTGTTGCTGTACCGCACTACACCACGGTCTCCAATGAGGTTTTTGAATGGGGAGATGTCTCGGGCTCTTGGGGGTCCACGTCATATACTGACGGTTCGGGGTTCTCGGCCAGCATTCCTGAAGTACGTAGGTGTGGGTGGTCGGTCTGCCAGCTGGACCCCGTCACGTGGCTCCCCGCCAGAGCTGAATATGGGCCCTTGCCCTACTATGTGCAGACAGTAGGACGTGCTGAGCGCTATGCCATCAAGATGGGACTTCAGAGGCATCCTGGGCATGAGGTTTTCATTTCTGATCTGAAATCGCTCGTGGAGGAGGGTGCGTCCTGGGACCAGAGGCTTGAGTTTGGCAAAGCGAAGCACGCCCGAGTCTGGAGAGATATTTTTTTCGGCTGCCAGAGCACGCGATCCACGTCTGCCACCAGTGCGGTTTCAGTGGACTCCAGCTCACAGGAAGCTGAGGACATCATCGGGTCGGCCACGCCAGACGAGCTGGAGGCCTACGTCGGCAATGCCTGGGCCGACTTCTTCGCGAAGTGTGGCAGCGCTGCGCATATGGTGTCAAAGACACTGGCTGACAGTTTGGCAGCTGGGCTGAAGCAGCACAGGCAGGTCCTGCACTATGTGTCTTGGGCGGCCTTCCAGGTTGTGCAGTTTCGGAGGTGGGGAGCTGACCCTGTCGTGGGGCAGGACCCAGAGCTCGCCCAGGTGCCCAAGCGTGTGGTTTTCGAGAGGCCCCAGGACCACGAGTTGCTCTTCTGCCAGAGGATGTCAGAGTATCGGTGCCGACGGTGCAATCGTGTCGCTCGGAGTGCGAGTACCCTCCAGACTCTTCGCTCGGGAGCTGATCGGGTATGTGCTCCCTCGCCTCTCGTCCAGAGCCTTGCCGAGGACTTCTTTCTGCGGAGTTCTGAGGCGTGGCTGAGTGTTTCGGACTCTAGGGTCACGGCGGCCATCGAGGCGGCCGATAGGATGTTGGGGTCCACGTCTCGGCCTTTGGAGGCCTCCTCGGAGTTCCCCGCGGTCCCTCCTCAGCCGCTGGAGCAGGTGTCTGCTGCCAGCGGCTCGGCCGACGTTCCCCAACCTGTGCTTGCCGAATTCGCTGAATTGGGGCATGACGTTTTCTGTGTTAATTCCGTGTATTGTTGCCGCAAGTGCGGTGGCAATTTCAACGGGTCCGAGTCCTTCAGGTCCGCCCGCAAGCTGCGGGCGCGGTGCCAAGGTTTCTCGGAGAATCCAAAGACTAGGGCGAACCAGCTCACGGCGATCGACCGTATCACTCGTGGCCTGGAGCCCCGCCAGCGTGGGGCAGGAGCGGCGCGTTCTGGCCCGAACCCTGCCCCCTAGTGTTTCTTTTTGGACTTGGGCCTGGGAGGTTTTCTTGGGTGTGGTTTTCCTGAGGCGCCCCACCCTCTCCCAGGCTTCCGCCTTCCGCCACCCCTGTGGCTCTCAGGTCTCACACGCGGTTGGTGTTCGTCACTCGGACGCCTCTCCTGCGGCTCGCTCGCTCCTCCGCCTCCGCCTCCGCCTCCTCCTCCTCCTCCTCCTCCTCGTCCTCCTCGTTCTCCTCCTCCGCCTCCTCCTCCTCCTCCTCGTCCGCCTCGTCCTCCTCGTCGTCCTCGTCCTCGTCCTCCTTCTCCCCCTCCCTCCCGTCTACTCTCGCCCCACTCCCTCCAGATGCCCAAGGCGTCTTCACCCCCCGAGGGTGTGGGACCCCTCGGGGGGTGAGGCCGCATTGAGCATTTGGACCGTCACCTGCGCCGTCGCGAAAATCCCAGCAGCGATTGACGTCGGCCTCTGAAAATATGCTTTTGGTGTTCGCAGTTCAGGTCTGTCTAGGGCGATATGCATCACGTTTCTCGAAGGTCAATTGGGCCTCCAAGTTCGACCTGTCCATTTGATAGCTCCTCGCCCCTTTCGCCCACAATGTGCCCTTTTCCACAAGCTTTGGTTGGCATACGCCCAGTTGGTCCTTCGAGCCTCCCGAATTAACGTATGCAGGTCACATTCCTCCACGCCTCTACGTTCCTCCACACCACATCTTTTCGTCGGCGGCGAGGCGGTGTTGGCTGCACCAGCGATAAAGCTGAACGGGGGGCACCAGAAAGCGAATTGGCCAGCGTGAAAGTCCTCCACACCACACAGCCCGTCGGGTGTCCGAAACTACCTCGCCTCTAAGCGGTAGCACTATGTCCAGTGCCAAATGCTTACTCTAATTCCGCTTGATAAGGCGATTGAGAACTTGTCGCCGCGCTGCCCGCCCCTGCCCATCTTCGAAGACTGTGACTACTGAGAACAGATCCATGCTTATGCCATCGTTCGACGACAGCACGCCAGCCCCCCCTCCCTTCCAACTGGGGAAACCATCAAAAACTACCGATGCCGCCACTCCCCGGATCCGGGGTGCCCTCTGACCAGAATTTCGAAAACAATCCAGCGGCGGCGACGACGGCTACCCAGGAGGTCCAAAAAGAGGGAAAGAGGGAATGGTAGAGCTACGGTAGGTGGAAGCAATTAGCGGAGACCCCCCCGCCCACTTACACTCAAAGCTGGCACGCTCGGGGAAGCCTGCGGTGGAAGTGCAACTCATCCGATCCACCGCCAACATCGATCATTGGGGGGGGGAGGGACAGATGACTGTGGCAGGAGAGTTCGCTAATTTCTTCAAAGGCCTGTATGGGTACCCTGTCCTCCTCCCCTCCCCCCCGCCGCAGCCGCGAGCGCCAGTCCAGGCCGTTGTTCCGCTCCGGGCGCAGGAACGGGATGGACTCTCCCTGGGCCAGCGGGCCAGCGCAGGGAGACGCGGGGAGCGGGAAGAACGAGGGGGGGAGGAGCAGGAAGAGGAATGGGGGGGGAGGGGATGGGGGAGGAGGTGGGGAGGGAGGGCGGGAGGAGGGAGGGGGGGCGGCAGGATGACCAGGAGGTGGAAGGGAGATGGGCAGGGAGCGAGGGGAGGAAAACGACGAGGAGAGTAGGATGCATGCGGGGACCCCCCGACCGAGCCACGGAAACTCCCACCAACGCGGGCGTCCGACTCGCGCGGGAGCTCCCGCATGCGGGCGAGATGGGTGATGGTGATGGTGGTGATGATGGTGATGGTGGTCGCGATGATGCTGATGATGATGGTGCTGATGTGTCATCCGCCAACGAAAAAGCCATGCAATACCGAACGGTATATAGTTAGATATGTTCAGTAGATATGTTGCAGATTCAGCCACAACGTCCAGCTCACTTCTCGTACATCGAAGACGCTTCCCGTCGTCCGCTGGGCGTCCGTCACGGAGGAACCCCGAGCCCTTCCCCTCCTGGACCTCCCCAGCTGAAAACATTGTTCCCTCCAGGCCGAAACCAACGTCTATCGCGGGACTCTTCGAGTCTTAGCGCGTTTCCCGTCATCCGCCACCGTGCCTGTGGCACGTTCAGGCGTGGAAGAATGCCAAAGACTGCCTAGCATGGTTCCTGTCATCTTCTAAGGGGCCCCCCACCCTCCGGACCGCACATCGCCAACTGCACCACACCTACTCCCGGGGGGCTCATGGGCGTCCATGGCGCCTCCCTGGGAATCTCCAAGGCATCCATGGCGGCCCAGGAAGCCCACCCAGGCCGCCCAAGAGGCCTCCAAGACAGTCCAAGGTCGTTCCAAAACGCCAAACATGGCCCCAAGACGGCCCAAGAGGCTCCAAGATGGCCCAAGAGGCCTCCAAGACGGCCGAAGAGGTCTCCAAGAGGCCTCCGAACAGGGCCCCAAGAGGCAAACATCATAGATTTTCCTTGGGCTTGCGAAGCTCCAAGACCGCTCAAGAGGCATCCAACGGCCCAAGAGGCCTCTAAGATAGCTCCAACACGGTCTCAGAGCGCCCCAAGACAGCCCAAGACGGCTCAGGAGGGCCCTCAGAGGAAGGAGCACGAACCAATCCTAGCCTTCCGCCCCAAGAGGCCCCCCCCAAGCGGCGCCCATGAGGCCCCAAGAGGCCCCAAAGAGGCCCCCAGGAAGCAGAAGGAGGCCCCCGACAGGCCCAAAAGAGGCCCCCACACGGCGCCCAAGAGGCCTCAAAACTGTCTCCAGGAGGCCCCCGAGAGGCCTCCCACAAGATCCCAACGAACATCCAGTAGGCTTCATGATCTGGAGCCCACGGGCCAGATCCACGGGGCGCTGGAGACCACGCGCCGCGGTGACACCCCGTGCCCTGCGAGCGGATACCGCGCCGCTCGACTCCGCCAGTACCCACCCCGCCCAACTATGGAGGGAAAATAGTCTCCGGCGCGACGGGCAGGTTTCAGGACCAGTCCCAATCACCGCCGAAAGAAAAGGGGGGCGCCAAAACTAAAAACCTTCAGCGGTTAACCAGGGCGTCCCTGGACTGCAGATACTCAGGAAGAAAAGCGGGCCCCAGGAAAGGGTAGATATTTTCAGGAGGAAGGAGGGGAGAAGAAGTAATGAGGAGAAAAGAGGGGGCAGAGAAAGGGAGGGGGAGAGGAAAAGAAGAAGAGGAGAGGAGAAGGAGGTGGGCCCGGAGAGAGAGAAGGAGGAGGTTCAGTAGAAAGAGGTAGAGGAGAGGGAGGAATGCCAGGAGGGAGGAGGAGGGGAAGGACTGAGGAAGAGAAGGCCGACGACGACGACGACGACGACGACGACGACGGCCACAGCGACGGCGTCGAAGGCGGCGGCGGTAGAGGGGTGCAGCTAGGGCGGGCATCCTTGACTGGCTCGAACTCAACCACAGTGAACGTCTCGCCCGACCTGTGGGCGGGCAGGTGCCAGCCTTCAGTGGACACAAATCCATACACGGAAGCTTTCGGAGCTCCGCAAGGACCTCTGAGACATCATGTCTATGCTTTCGTATATTCTTCGACCCCCCTGTTCCCGTCCTCCTCCTCCCTGCCTCCTCCTCCCCTCCCCCCTCCTCCTCCTCCCTCCCTCCTCCTCCTCCTCCTCCACCTCCTCCTCCTCCTCGTCATCATCATCATCATCATCATCCTCCCCCTCCTCCTCCTCCCCCTCCTCCTCCTCCTCCTCCTTCTCCCTCCTCCTCCTCCTCATCATCACCACCACCACCACCACCACCACCACCACCACCACCACCACCACCACCACCATCATCATCATCATCATCATCATCATCATCATCATCGTCATCAGCATCATCATAATTCATCATCATCACCACCACCATCATCATCCTCATCATCCTCATCATCCTCATCATCCTCACCATCCCCATCCACATCATCATCATCATCAGCAGCAGCAGTATCATCATCATCATCATCATCATCATCATCATCATCATCATCATCATCATCATCATCATCATCATCATCATCATCATCCTTCCCCCTTCTCCCCCCGTCGGGCGCCGCCCCTGGCGCGCCCCGCGACCCAAAACATTCGTGCAGAACTCGGATAAATTCTGCTTCTGTGTTTTTGCTCGGCCCCCTGAGGCAACGGCCAACCCCGACACCGGGCGCCCCGATGCATGTCGAGGCGGCCAACCTGACGTCATTCTGGGCCTCCCTCGGCCGCTTTCAGGCCCTCGGAGAGGAGGAAAAGGTACCGAGACCGCTACACGTCCCTCGTTTTCCCTTTTTGGGGTTACTTCTGGGCGGCGCTCGTCGCCACCATTGGACTCACATCGAAATCCAGGCCAGAACGCACCCCAGGAGAGGGCCTGGGATTAGCGGCATCAGCACCTGTTGGTTCCCCCAAGGACAGGATACGACTCGGGATGAAAAGCTGGACCATCCCTAAACACGACTCGGGAAGGAAAAACAGGCTACGGGGAGGTGGAGGCGGTGCGGATAAATCACAGCGCCGGATGTCTGGGAGGGGCAGAAGCGAGGGAGGAGGTATCGGGCTGGATTGGGCTCGGACAAGGACCGCACCCCTACTGCATCGGCGGGTGGACCTGGAAGACAGGAGAGAGGAAGAAATCGCAACACCGAAGAAAAAAACCGACGGGACGGGGCCCGAAACGCGAACCGACCACAGCAGGGGGTATCGAGAGAGGACAGATCCAGGAACGAATATCGAGGTTTTGTGAGCGTGCTGGGCTCTTCGGTGGCAAACCTTAGGTCGGGCATGTCCTCCTGCAGCCTGGTCTGGGAAGAAAAACAACTAGACAAAAAGATCGGCGGATGACAAAAGAGAACGATCAAACGCCCCAAGACTATTTCTACTCTTCTTGAATCTTCCTCCAGCAGAGGGGGATGCCCGACTCGAAGCAAGCCCCCGAAAACCTCCAAGAGGCCTCGGACGCCCTGTGCAGACCTCGGGGGACCTCCAGGCCTGCCCCCGACGGGAGGGGACGAGACGCAGGCAGGCAGGCAGAAACGAGAACGCGGGGAGCCAGAAGGAGGAGAAAGGAGCAGGGCGCAGGGTGCTGAGGATGCAGAGAACATTGGTATCCACTCTGGCCCGACGTCGATGTGACCCAAGGCAAGAAAGAGATTCACGATCTGGCCTGCTCCTCCCATCGCGATCAAGCCACTGTGTGCGCTACCCCTCCGAATCAACGGAGTGCGTTAAATGCTCAAAATCCCTTATTAATCGTCCCCTGGGTCCGGTTTTTTAACGCGCCTTTTCTGTAACTGGGTGGGTCCGGTTCATTAGGGCGCTTTCTTTGGATTGGAGCTTGGGGGGTCTGGTTGATTAAGGCGCCCAGTCGAAGACAGGGGTCCGGAATATTAGGTCGCATTTGGAGGGGGGTCCGGTATTTTAGGGGGGGCGATTAAGAAGGGATTTGGAGTATGATGCTGAATGCTCAACGAGTGGCGTCGACTGGGGACCAACCCGTCAGAACCAGCGCCACCTAGCTTCGCGCACCGCGCCCCGTGATGCGCGACGCCTGGTTCTCTTCGCGCCTTCGCGCCGCCTCCTGGAACAGGCCATCTCGACGGCACTGGACGCGACGCACGAGGCGCGATTATATTTAAAGTCGGGCCTGTCCCCCCACAGGGGGATTTTCGACGAAAAATAAAAAATGCACCACAAATATTCAAACAATAGTCCAAGAATAGTCCGGGGACTATTTGTTGAGTATTGTTTGACCTTTTTGGTGTATTTTTGAGGTATGCTTTATTTTTCGTCGAGAATCCCCCTGTAGGGGGACACGCCCGACATAAGATTAGATTCGCGCCTCTGGAGGTGACCTTGGGAGCCACCAGGCGCGGAGACCAGAGAGCAGACACCGTCCAATGGCTTGCTGTGGAATGGACCGTTGGTGGAAGCTCGTGCGCCCAAACAAGAGCGGTGACTGGCCAAAGCTCAACCACGGGGCTGGCAGAATCTGGACACGTTCATCGGCCTTGTGCCGGACTTCCTCGACGCTTACTGCGCACGGGAGGATGGACGACGCTTCCTTTTCAAGATTGGGCTCTCGTCTGAATTCACACGCCCAGGAGGCGCTCGGCTTTCCAGGAGCACGTCTCAAAGTGAAAACGACTTCGTTCAAGGAGTTACGCGAAGGAACCAGGGGCATCTTGATGCCACAACTCTGGTTTCCCTCCTCCTGCTCCTCCTCCTCGCCCGCCTTCCCTCAAGACATCTGCAGAAACATCGACTTGCGGCGGTGCGGGCAGACTTGTTGGATCGGCGTTGCATGGGCTCCCTTCCTGGCGCGCCGAGCGCGCCAGGACGCGGCGCCGAAAGCGCAGCCGGGAGCGGGTCCAGCGCGGACCAAGACAAGCCTGGGCGCCTGCAACCCTGGCGCGTTTCGCTTGGGACTTCGCTGAGGAGGAGGAGGAGGAGGAGGAGGACGAGGAGGAGGAGGAAAAAAAGGGGGAGGGGGAGGAGGAGGAGGAGGAAGAGGAGGAGGAGGAGGAGGAGGAGGGGGCCAAACCGACGCGCCCCGTGCCGCCGCGGAGCCGACCGGCCCGGCCCGACAGGTCTGGCATTGCCGCGAGTTCGCTCCGTGAGCGCGCGCCCCACCCTCCCGCCAAACTTCCGCGCCATCGAGAGACCTGCTGAAGACGACCGTTTGAAGACCTTGAAACATGCCAGCAAATTTTCCCTGGGATATCCACCCACGGATCAACCTGATCGCTGCGCCCTGAAGATCTGAAATCGTGCCGGAACGCCTTTTCGGAAGCTTCAAACACCGCGAATCAAAATAACTGCTGCACCTGCATAGTCCTGAATCCTTCCAAAACAATTCGAATCCGTGGATCTCTCGCAAATTTGTAAAGCGATTGCGCGGCGCTACGGCGAGAACCACACTTTGAACTGGAACCACCCTCAATCCGTGAAACTCTTCAATTTGTTAAAATGAATGTGCGCGGCGCGAAAGCGACAAACACAATTTGAAAATGAGACGCCCTCAATCCTAGAGGCTCTTGCGATTTGTTTAATAGAATGTGCGGGGGGCTACGGCGAGAGACACATGTTGAAAACCACCCGCCCTCAATCCGTGAAGCCATTGCACATTATCAACACGAGTGCGCGCGGCGCTTGGGCGAAAACCGCATTTTGTTAAACTCCCGAATTATAAAGGGAAAGGAAGTCTCTGGTGAAACGCCCGGCCCGCCCTAGAAACTGACCTCGGGATGCGACAAAGGGATATCACGTGCAAGGAAAAGAATGGAGGAATAGGAGGAGGGGGGGAGGAGGAGGAGGAGGAGGAGGAGGAGGAGGAGGAGGAGGAGGAGGAGGAGGAGGAGGAGGAGGAGGAGGAGGAGGATAAGGTCTGGTTCGAGAAGGGTGTTTCCAGAAGGGGGAGGAGGAGGAAGAGGAGGAGGAGGAGGAGGAGGAGGAGGAGGAGGAGGAGGAGGAGGAGGAGGAGGAGGAGAGGGAGGCTTGCTTCCAGGAGGAGGAGGAGGAGGAGGAGGAGGAGGAGGAGGAGGAGGAGGAGGAGGAAAAGGAGGAGTTTTAAACCCGCGCCACCTGGAACCACCGAAGCGGGACCAGGTGGTCCACTTCGGGCGGGGCGGCCGTGCCTGCCTGCCGATCGCCTCCAGCACCGCCACCACGCCGATGAGGACGATGGGCGCGGCGGGGCGGGGGGGCGACTCGGCGGCGGCGGCGGCCCCCACCTAGTCAGATCTCGAACTCGCGCCGTTTTGGGCGAGCTCCCTTCGCCGAGGAATCCTCGAATGAAAAACACCGCTGGACGCAGCACGGCTATCATCAACACCCACCACGCCAGGCACCGAAACGGGCGGGGGCCCGGACGGGGCAGACGGGGCCGCGGGCCCAAAACCTTCGCGCACATCTCCCAGCACTATCTTCTGCCCCGTCTTGGGGGGGACGCCGCGCTCGAGCCGACGCACAAACGTGCGTTGGTTGGCGCGGGTGCTGGGGTTGTCTGCGGGGCACACACAACTCGCCAGCAGCTTACGCATACTGCCTAGCGCACCGTGGGCCCCGCATTTCCTGCAACATCCTGCAACAAAAGACAGGGCCGCAAGAGAAGACCCCATGAAATAGCTCGCCGAAGCAATCCACATCCGAGACTGGCACGGGAAGCTGGGGAGTTGGCGGCTCGCCGACCTCCTGGCCGACGTCTAGGCAAAGAGAGCCCGCAGCCTCCAAAGCAACCGTCACCGCCCCCGACCGAGCGAGCGAGCACGTCGAATCGAACTCACCGAACCAAGACTCTCACACATGCTGGCGGATGGGTGGCGGCTTGCATTCCCGCGTGTCTCTGGAGGTGATCAAGGCCTTCAAACTTGGGGGGGGCGTGCGTCCACACCTCGTGCACGTATACGTTTGCTCGTAAGCACGATAGAACAACACATGGCTGGTGA